GAAATATTTTCCAGTATCAAGTCTAAATTGTAGACTTGACAATTTAGGAATAGGAAATCCACTGTATTTCCTATTACAGTGGATCTTAGAGTCAAGAAATATTTTCCAGTATCAAGTCTAAATTGTCCCTTTTTTTATTTCACTGCCTTATGCATTATTATAACTATCTATATGACACTTGGTACATCTTCTCTTGTATTACTTGTGTTTTTCAGATGTTTTAAAATTGTTACTATGATCCCCCTCCACCACCCCAATCCTTGTTTCACCAAATTCTGCACGCTCATTTGTTTGAATCTTCCCTTCTAAATCAGTCCTGTGGAAATAGAGGCTTCTCTTGAAAAATATCAGGCACCCAGAAATACAGCTGCGTGTCATTGTTAAGAGATATCCATACTGCTATCAGAGTTACAGTCCTCCCTCACATGTGTAGACATACCTACACTGGCTTAAATTTGCGCCAGTCAGATACCAAGAGCCGTGTAGCCTGAGAAGCAATAGGCTTCATCACGGGATATGCAGGCCTATCAAGAGTCATTCAAGTAACGACTTTGTGCTACAAAGCATGACCAAGGGACCACGGTGCTGTTGATGCTTAAGCTAATTGGAATATGTCTGCGTGTGCTGCCATCATCCCTACATTGATTTCAATGTAGACATCCCCATAGAGCATTGTGCATATCCTACTGAAACAAAATGGCTTATGAAAGACCGCTATAATCACCGACTGTCATCATTTTGGACAATGCCGTTGGGCTCCAATGCTCCCTGAAGCAACACCTGTTCCCCTTTTTATAGTCAGGCTCACTAAACCCTCTTTCAATGCTTGCTTGTTTCTCATCTACCCAAAATTACAGGTGTCTCCAGCCGTCAGAAGTGCATAGGACCAAATGCCTCACTGTGGCAATAGCAGATATTTTATGGCGAGCAGGGGACAACGAAAAAGCAGTGATTGCACTGTAAGTGAGACACATTTTCAGTTATTGCATATAATTAGGGTTGCCAACCCTCCAGGATTGGCCTGGAGTCTCCAGGAATTGGATATAAATCTCTAGGAGAATGCTGAGAATCACTCAGGAGATAAATGATAGGGCATTCATTAAAATAAATATTACATGTTGAATTTGATTTATACAGTAATCCAGTGGGTTTTTTAACTGTAATAGTAATGTGCATTTGCCTTCCTGACGTAAAGGCATTAATGTCATTATGGCATGTGATGAAACCTCCTGCAATAGATTCAGAAAGAGTTGGCAACCCTACATATAATCCCTATGGTTAACTACAGAGAGACAAAAGGCCCGAGGCTGAATTGTTTCAATCTTTGCAGGTTAGTCTAACCTGCGTAGATTGAATCATTAAGGAAGTGAGCAAACATACACTTTTGATTCTGAAAATGCAGCGATATGCTTGCAGTAGCCCAGGCCAGAAGCTGAGGAGTGCTAGAGCATGCCTGCCTGCTTGGCTGGAGCAGACAGTTTAGGCCCAGGCTAGCCTGCCCACCCTGCAAGGGGAGGTTTTTGGGGGAGGTGCAAAGCATCCTGGTATACTGGGACCATGAGTTAATGTGAACCTGGAGGGGATCCGAGACAGAAGTTTCATAAACCGATTTAACCTAACTCAGTTAAGTCTGATACTACATCTATCCGGGTTTATTTTAAACTGGTTTCAGCCTTTTGAAAGTGGTTTACGTGCCCTGAACCTCTATTGTGTTACAGATTTGAACTGGTTTCTGGTCACCAGGAAGCCTGGTTTTCCCTGATAAACAATTGCAAATTCTCTAACAAAACCCCCAAAATCTGTGATTAAAATGAAAGACCCCTCACCCCCCACCTCCCATAGCGCTCTGGTCCTGCTCATGCCCCTCATTCCCCCTGCAACCACTCCAGTCCTCCTGGTGCCCCTCACCCCCCGCCATAGCCCCCTGGCCCTGCTAGTGGCTGTGCAACCCCGTGCCGCTGAGTGTGCAGGGTATGCGTCCCAGGGCAGCGTGAGCTCGGAGCGGCAAGCAGCTTCCCTGTGCAGCCTCGCTGTGGGCTGCAGGGCCAGGTTGCACCTGCTGGGCTATGGAGGCCCCGGGAAAGGGCAGCATGGTAGGAGCCCGAGCCCACCCCATGCACAGATTTGAGGGGCATGCGTACCCCCTGCACCCTGGGAGTGTGTGCAGCAGTGGGGAACTGGTCCCTTCCCTCACCCCCCAGATGAATTGTCCGTGGCCCCATGTCACTTCCCTCCAGGGCCCTGCAGCCAGGCATTGCAGCCCCGGGCCCCAAGTACCATGCATCATCCTGCTGGGCAGCAGCCCCAGACCCAGTCTTGCCCAACTCCTTCCCTCCCTCCCTCCCTTCCTATGGGGGCCTCAGTCTTCTTCCCCTCACCCCGCCCAAACTTACCTGCAGAAGTTGCCCTCCAGTCTGCCTGGGGCCATGTGAACATGCATGCACATGGCACCCCTTGCCTGACCGCCCTCCTCCCGCTCCCCCCAGCCCACTGCAGGGGAACTCTGTGGGCCTGCAGAGAGCTCTTTGCAAAACGGCAAAATCCACAGGTTTCTCCGCTAAAATGAGAAATCTGCAGTTTCCCTTGACAAAGGGTTAAATCTGCAGGTTTCTCCATTTTTCCTTGGGAAACAGGAAGCCTGGATCCCTGCCGATCACTTGTACTGTTTTATGTCATTTCTGTCCCTAGCCCATGTGTATACAATCCGTTCCATATAAATGCCTAGATCTCTGCCCATTCAGGATGCTTTTGTCTAGTCTAAAATGGCTTGTTGTTAATGGGCACATACTAGTTGCAGTTCCCTGTCCTAAAATCCAGTAAAAATCAGGGTAAAATCCTGCTGTCTCTGGAATCAATGGCTTAAGTCCCATTGACTACACTGGCTTCAGCATGTCACCACAGTCTCCGTGACAAGAATGCCTCTATATATTAATTGAGAAGTGGAACTTTTCTAAAGCGGCTCCTTCCTTATTATATTTTAAACATGATTTGACTCTGTAAGACAGGTTTCTCCATGTAGACACTATATATCTGTTGGTGTACTGAAGCTATCCCGGTGTTCTTCTGTTCTGTTCCAACGAAAAGATTTCAATGAGGTCTTGACTCTGTCTGTCTTCTTTCTGTGTACAGTAGCATTTGATTAATTTTAAACACAATATAAAGACTTTTAAAACACTTACAAAGTAACTCCCTTTTTTTGGTGATGAAAGCTGACTTTGTTTGTAACGTGAACTTGCCGTGTGAGAGAGCTCAGTTAAAAAAAAAATAGCCACTTTTTTTCAGTTCTTTTTTCCACTTCACTACAGCACATTGATTTCTCTTTGTTGCATTGCTGGTGCTTCTAAGGGAGCTGTTGCTTTGTTTAACTCTCTCTTTTATAGGCCTTCAGGAAGGCAGCAGTTCACTCCGGTAGGAAAATACAAAGCAGATGGAGTCTTAGAAACGGTAAGTTTTGGTGCAGCCGCACACATATGTTTCATATGTCCCTATACGTATGTATTTTCTCTCTCTCTCTCTCTCTCTCTCTCACACACACACACACACACACACACACACACACACACACACACACACACACACACACACACACACACACATGTAAATCTTCACTTACAAAAAATACAATGGACCTGGTTCTCTTCTGTTTCCCACACTAATTTACCATATTTTCTTCCATAAAACACACACCTTTTTCCCCAAAACCAGCTGATTGAAATTAGGGTGTGTGTTATATATGAGAAATACTGATCCCCATGGGTCCAGAAATGTGGTGGCGGGAGACCAGTGTTAATTATTGCAGCTCTGGGAGACAGGGCATGTTATGTTGTCACTGCCTCCACCACCACATTTTCCAGCCAAATAACACAGCCCCATATAGCAGACCTGGCAGGTGGCCCAGATCTAGCACACAGGGTCAGACCCAGAGCAGAGCCCCAGACATGGTACAGAGGTCAGACCCAGTAATTTGGACCTAGCATGCAGGGTCAATCCATGGTGTCAGACCCAGTGCTCAGCTCCAGGCTGGCCCACAGCCGCAGACCTAGCATGCTGGATCTGGTCAGCGTGTGGGATCAGTTTGCAGCTGGACCTGGCCTGTGGCCCTGGACCTGGCTTGCAGAGTTGGGACTGGCGTGCAGCCCCAGACGCAGCACATTGATTTGGGCTAGTGTGTGGGGTCAGTCCCTTTGCACACGGGGCTGCAGCCAGCTCAGAAGCAAGCTTGGCTCCCTGGCTACTACTTCTTAGTTACTTAGTGGTTCTACAAGGTTAAGTTCTTTTTTTTTTCTTGATGCTGCCTTTCCAAAACAAAATGAGTTTTATTTCATGCGGTGCGTTATATGTAAGGTGACCATATTATTTTTAAGGAAATCCAGGGCAGAGTGTTTCAAGTGAAGGCAGAGCAGCATGGTGCACCAGGCAGGTGGGTGGGCAGGGGCTGCTGCTGCTGCTGTGCCGTGCCAAGGCAGGTGGACTGGAGCAGTGCCCAGCTCAGCCTGCCTCCAGCTGCTGCTCAAGAAGGGTTGGGCTGGGTAGTGCGGACAGGGTGGTGCGTGCTCCAGTCTGCCCACCTTGCTCCTGCACAGCAGCAGCAGTGCCTGCCAGCCTGCTTGCCTGATGCACCATGTTGCTCTACCTCTCCGCTGGGCTGTGCCCTGTGTCCTGCCCGCCTTCCTCTGCCTGCAGCAGCGCTGTTGATTTGGCATGGGGAGGAGGGCCAAAATACAGGCTTTCCCAGGCTGCAGTTTTCCCTCTGGCCATTCTGCTGCGGCACACTCACGCACAGGAGAATCGGTAGAGAATGAAAGAATCATGTATTTGGACAGGAAAAGCAAGGATTCAAGGACTTTTCTTTCAATTTTCACCAGCTAGCCGGGACTGGTCCGGCCATACCGGGACTTATGTTCACTCTGGTTATATGTGACAATATGTGGTAACTCCACTGACTTCCACGAAGCTGCCCTTGATTTACCCTAATGTAAGTGAGAGGAGCTTCTAAAGAATAGCAGCGCTTCAGGACATAGCTGGCTTTTAGCCTGACCCAAAATATATGGACCCCCTGAAATTCTCTTTCCATTCATGTCCCGAGGTTGCAAATAACAGCAGCTTTCCCCATAGTGGAAGAGAAGTGGGAATGGGTCCTGCAAGGCCCATTGCTACAGCTGTTATCAACAGAAAGAAACCCTCGGTTTTCCTCCTTGTACTTTATACAGCATGCCTTGCTTTTCCTCTCCAGATAAATGGCTCATGATGGTAATTCCTAAGAAAGTAAATGCATTGTCATCTGGGCATTTCGTTCCATCTGAACTTCTCAATTGCTTTGCAAAGGTGCAAGAGGCAAGGGTTTTTGTGGGCGATATCTTTAACTGACTAACTGCATGGTGGCGATAGACTTAAACAAGCTTCTCAAGGCAGGGCATGACAAATTAAGCGACACAAATGATACCCAAGTGAATAGAGGGAAGGAAGAATTTGATGGGGAGGGGGAGGTGCTTTCTTGTCATCACAAAGAAAGCCCATGGTAGATCCAAAAATATAACCCAGATTTTCTGCCTCTGAATCCCATGGTTTAGACACAAGATCGTTGTTCCACTTGAAGTGGGGGGATTACCAGAGATAATCCATGAATAGAGAAGAATCAGACACTATTGAAATACAGCCCTGTTCTTGTGAACTCTCACTAACATTTAAATTGGATGGGACTAGCTATTCTGCCTTCTAAAGACAACCCACTAGAATGGACTGTACCTGCAGATACCAAACTACTTGGGTCTCTTCTGTCTTCCAAAATTTCGGTATTCCTACATTGGTTGCAATACTTGAGCATCATACAGTACATTTAACATGCTGAAAACTGACATTATTTTTAAAACAAGACTCTCAGAACATATACATACTACAGCTGCAATGAGAGTTAAAACATTATTTTAGTAATGAAGCTGGAGTTCTGGACATAATGGATTTCAGTGGATCTTATCCAGTCTGTAGCAGCCGGGGATCTTGCCGGACATATTTAAGTTTTGTGGTTGCATTAATTCAGTCTTGGTTTATACTAGCATGTTGTTATCTATTTTAATTACATTTTTAAAACATTTTTTTCAGCTAATGGTACATACCATCACAAAATATGAGGATCTGACAGTATTTCTTCAGAAGAATATTCATCAGGTACTCTGCATGGAGACACAATTAATCTTGACATTCATTGTTCAGCTGATAGTCTTGTAGCATATAAAATTCAAGTAGAAACTAATATAAACATCACTTCAGGAATAATTTGGACAGGTCCCCTGAAAAGATGAAGGACCAATTTCAAGCCTACCATAAATGAGAGTGAATCTTAGAGATTTTAGTTGGAGTTGTGAGTCTGTATGGGGGATAAAAAGTGCATTCATTAAACCATCAAAGTAAATACAGTATACCTTTTTTTCCAGTTTGAAACTGGTCCATGTGGATGCATTCTTCTCACACTGTCAGTTATCTTATCAAGATCTATTCATCTGTGAGTATTTTTATTTCTATTGTATAAAAATAAAGGGGCCTACGCCATATAAAAGTTGCAGCCTGGGGAGGAAGCAGTTGTCCTTCCGAATTTGCAAGAGGGCACAGAAACTCCTTAGCTGACAAAATAATGATAATGCAATATTTACAATCTTCTAGATGCTCTACTAAATATAGGAAATACTACTGGTATCAAATCCATCCACCTTGGTCATATTCAGAGCTCAAGGATATGAGCTTCAGCTGTGCAAAGAGTTAGGAACATAAGCATAGAGTGTAAGTACTATGTCCTCAAGTTCAGGCCCCTGTTGACACAGGCAGTGGCATGCTATAATCCTTCCCATAAACTTATCAAGCCTTGCCTTCAAAGTAATTAAGTTATTTGCCTTTTATTGCTGCTATTGGAAGGCTGTGGTAGGACCTCACTAGTTGGATAGTTAAAAACTTTATCCTGGTCTCCAGGCTTGTACCAGCATGCCCCTTTCATTAAAATAGCGGTTTTCTCTTCCTGGGACTTCTCCCCATGTTGTATTTACATACCTAAGTCACATCCGTTTTCCCTGTTTTATGTGTCAGCTGAGAAATCCATGCTTTTTTGGTCTCCGCTCAGAAGACAGGCTCCCCGTGGCCCTGATTATCCTTGTAGTGCTTCTCTGCACCTGTCCCAGTTTGAATTCATCCTTCATAGATATAAGTGACAGCACTGCACGTGGTACTCCAGATGAGGCATTACCAGTGTCTTGTACATTAATAGTTTCCTGTCTCTACTGGAAGGAATTTACCTGATGCATCCTATGGTAGCATTTGCCTTTTTCATTGCTGCATCCCTTTATTGCATCACGTATGACATTATCACGTACACTCCCAGCTCTTTCTCCTCTTCTGTTGTTTCCAGTCTGCAAACTCCCAGTTGGTAGCAGAAATAATTGCCATCAGTTCAAGAGCCACCGTGGTTAGGGCTACATGCAATCCCCCAGCCAACAGGTGAAATGAGCTTTGCTAATTGGCATATAGTCTGCTTTAGTGTATATTCACCACTCAATTACAACCAAAATAACAGGCTAGATGGGATATTTAAGGTCTTCTTTGTCTCTATGGCTGTACAGAAAGTTTGTGTTCTCCTACAGACCGGAAGAACTTAAGAGAAGTTTTACTTAGTTTTAATTTTGAATGGTGACACGAGCATTATGGGGTCGGATATCACAGAAGAGGCAGTGATCACTAAGTGAATTCATTCTTTCGTGTAATACCCATGATGAGTCTAGTTGACAGGTTTTCATGAAGCTAACGTCATTATGAATTTCATTAGAGTGCAGTTGTACTTATTTGCATTTGACAGAGTTCTCTTTTGTCCTTTTAAACTGTATTCCTACGCTGCTATCAGCCTGAGGATTAATCAGTAAAAAAAAAATCCATACAACGAGATCAAATTGCACTCTCTAAATGCTTTTCAGAATCATATTCTAGTGAAAGAGAAGTGTCAGAAAAATCCATCATCTATTGTATTTCCATCTCTCAGTAATGACTGTCATGAAGAAAACTGCTTTGATTGAAAAAGAGTATGACTTTAGATTATCTTAGTACGCTGCCACAGTTCTACTTTTTCTTTCAAACCTAGACTGTGTTGAAAGAAATACCAGTTTGGAACTCAATTTTAGATGTAAATGTAGTTGCTAAACCACAGACTTTCTTGTAAGGATTCACAATGTATTATTATTTTCAAATTTACTTTACATTAACGTTGACATTTTGTGGTTTAATATAGCGTAGAAGTCTAATATCATTGCTCTTATTCTGTAAGGTATAACTGGCATTAATCTTATATGACTGGTTTTAGACCAGCAGCACAAGGATGTTTGGTGACTTTGTTTAGGTTCAACATGACTAGATTTTTAAAGGGCTTTAGGTGCCTAACACTGCAGATCAGCACATAGCGGGGTTTTCCCAAGTGCCTGGGCTCCTAATGCTCATGGATTTGAATATCTACACCAGACACTAAAAAACGGCATGCATTTCTTAATGATGGGAGCTGGGAGGTTCTCTCCCCCATTAAACTAATAAAAAGATTACAAGTTGATATATTGCTAATAGGTGCCTTCATACTTTTGAAAATCCCTCTGGGTTTGTATCTGTACTTCCAAGCACCTAAATACCCTTAGACATCTGGCAGACAGTGACAGAGAACAGCTTCTTTAGGAGCCAAATCTGTGACCTTCCCCCCCACTGGACCATTTCTGGAAACGCTACTGCTTTTCCACCTTGCATCCTTTCCTTTTCTGTGTCCTTGTGACAAGGTATTTAGCAAAACTTGCAGATTTGCTAGACTCTGTCATGGCCTTGAATTTACAACCTCTGGGCTGTCAAACATGCACCTTAGGGTCCACCCCACCCTGAATGGTATAGTGCCAATAAAGTCCACCATTAGCTATCTTCTGTTTATAAGAAGCATGAATTTATCTCTGTTGTTAGAAACAGGGAATGTACATTCAGACTTTTGTCTATGAGAAATGAGTCACAATTGTATTATGCACTTTTCAATTATGGATGCATGGTCATGTCATAATCCTTGTTTTAGGATTTGAAAAATAGCAGGAGAAATAAGCTCACTGCTCATCCCATTAAGAAATACGTACCATTGAGTGGCTGTTATGGGCATTGGAAAGGGTTGTTATTTACATAATTGACATAGTTCTGGATGAATATTTGAAGACTAGGGAGAGTTGTTTTACTTAATAGGGTTATATCCAGCAAGTAGAGCTGGTTGAAAATTTTCGCTCAATATTTTTTTTTTCTACAGAAAATGAATCTTAAGCAAAATCAAAACTTCCCATAGGAGCCATTAGTTTTGTTGATTTTTTTTTTTAACATACCTTGTCATGTCAAATCCACCAAATCAAAATGTTTTGGTTTCCCAACCCATGCCAATGTCTTTCATTTCAGACTACTGTGCCAAGCTAGGTCTCCCTGAACTACCCGCATGCTACTGGCCAGGAGTACCTGGCTGGGCCACGTGTCTCATGGTAAACCCAAGTCTCTGTTCTGGTTGTAACGGTGTGGGAGATAAGAGACCAAAGGCTCTTGAATGACCACTCCCATGAGGCACAGCAGCAGCTCCGAGGGAGATAGGTTAGTGTCAAACCAACCACAACCAAAATGCTTAAATGGGGGTCAAGAAATAGAAACAAAACACCTTGTTTCAGAAATGTCAACAACATTTCCTTTCAATCAAACATAAAACTTCACAGTTTCCATTTCATGAAGAACAACTCAACATTTTGACTTTTCATTCCACTTCAGAACACAAAAAAAGGGGAAATGTCCAAATTTCCTGCAGGACAGAAATGCCTATTTTCAACAAGCTTTATTCTAATGCCGCATTCATTGCAAGTCACAGGCATTTGTACTTAGCAGGCCTACCCCAATTGGAGAAGCAGAGGGTTCTGCTTTCAGTGTTGCTGTGTAGATTGTGCTACCAAGTTCATCATACAGGAAGTATACATGAGCACCAGTGAGGGAACCAATAAGAAATGGTTGCAAGGGTTACAGTTCCCGAGGAAGTGCATTGGGGTTTGTTGTTGTCGCTGTTATGGGAAGGAGTGCTAGGAGCAATGGCCATTCAAACATCATTTATTTTTTAACTACTGGAGAACTAACAAAATTATTGCCATTTCATATCAAACGCTACTGCACCACCTCCAAATTCCTCTTAAGCCATGTTTCACCTGCTCCAACTTCCTGACCCATGAAAGTTAAGCAAAACCCATTGCTCTTTTAGCAGCTGCTGATCCAGCCAGTCAATTTAATTTAATTTAAAATGGTGCTTCCCATCAAAGTGCTCATGGTGTATGTCTTCATTGTACCAACCTCCTTTCCTTTACCTCCTCTATTCAAGACAGAGCCATCAAACCCAGAACCCTCCAATCTCCTGCCAGACCCTAGGAAATGTTGACTGAGAAAGATGCATTACCACAATTCCTTTTGTGGAAACACAATGCATTGCCAAATGCTAAATATAATGGCTATTGTAGTGCACATGGTGTGTGTGTGTTATTCAGAGTTTTGATCAATACAAAACTAAAGATATTTTTTGGCCAGTGTAGACTTCACTGCTTTATCACAGCTAGAATTGTGTATTTAGCATCCGGTGTTTGAACCTTTTAACTTCTACCTCTCAAGTGTTTCTGTGAGAATGAAGAAAACAATGGTGTTATCTGTGCAAAATAACAAGACTTTGAGGGTCAGAAAAAGGCTGTATAGTTTATTAGTGTTGACCTATTGTAAACCCAGGAAATTATGAGTCAACCCATCTCCTTAGTGTTATCCCAGAGCTCTAGTAATTGTGGCCCTTTTTCTTCCAAAAATGTGTCCAGCTTCTTCTTGAATTGACCTATGCTGTTTTCCATTTTTGAGTTTAGCAGTTTGTGCCATAATTTAATGCCTTCTGTTAAATGATGATTTCTGAATGATTCAGATGTTGGTCCATCATCAATCGAGCCCCTTTTAAGCTAGGCCCTAATTAGGACCCTCATTGTTTCTAGGCATCTCCCATTTCCTTATCTTGTACTCTCAAGCCTTCCTTCAGTGAGCATATCAGAGCAAAGGGGAGATGTACGTTTACAGCTGTATTTAGGAACTTGTACCAGTCGCTTTCCACATAGAAATGAACAGCATTGCCTTTTTCTGAGCTACAGAGACTAAGCTTATCTAATCTTTCTTCCTAATCTTTCCCTTCAAAAACTATGGAGTAATATTTCTGCTCTTCTTACATTTTTTCCATTTCTAAAAATATCCTTCCCGTGCTAAGTTAAGCAGGGCTGCACTTGGCATGCTAAGTGTAGTCTTCATGGAGAATAATTTTGGCTGAGAGAGAAGGAAATGTGGTCAGATAGACTAAAGGTATGTCTGCATAATGCAAGGCAGGGCTAGGCAGAGATAATCAAACTGTCTCTGATTGTGCCAGCTCTCATACCAGAAGCAGCATTACTGTGCTTGCACAACACT